TGCAAGTGGCTGAAAGGAAAAAGGTTTGGGGGAAGTATCATGAACCACCATGGAAACAAACAGCAAAAGTGGACAGCGTGTGCAACAGTTGTTCGGCAGGTACACACTGAGACGTCTCTCAGTGCTTCCCCTCCAGCGACTTAGCTTCGTTGGGCAAGGTTCGTCGCTGGAGGCCTTGCCCCCCTGCCTGTGATGAATTCACATCAATGGAAAAAAACGATCTCGGTGGTAGTGGAAAGGTGAAAAGGTGGAAAACCCTTAGAACCAGGGTGTGACACACACACACACAGACACAGACACAGACACAGACACAGACACAGACACAGACAGACACACACACACACCACACACACACACACACACACACACACACACGCCCTAGCGTAGAGGGGGGCCAGGATCTAGGGTCCAGACTGAGGTTTGGGCGTGTGCGCGCAGAAGACAAAAAGATGAAGACATGAGAGGGGGACGAGACAGACCATGTGACCATGTGCATGTGGCTGCGATGAAGAGAACCAAATGACCAGGGACAAACGATGAAGCAGACCTCCTTGTAACAACCTGGGCAACCTAAAGCTACGTTTGGAAGTAGTTGCCCGCGAACACGCTAAGGGTCAGACCAGTGTGTGGGAAAAAACGGCGTGAGATGACGAGACAAGAAGGCAGGAAAGACATGAAAAGAATGACGAAAAAGAAAATGCGTGATTTGAAAAAAGGTGAAAGGGGGAAGCAAGTGAACAGGCCGGAAGTACGAAGCCAAACCTCATTAGACAGAACCTAGGTGGAAGTGGCCTGGTTTATGCATACGCTGTATGCGCACCTAAGATTAGGACAGGCCCCAATGGGTCTTGAGTGAACTACGGCCGCTGTGGCCTACCCCTGGCGTAGCCTGCTCTGGCCTCCTGCGGGCTACAGCTACTCCTGGCGTTCAGCCTGCTCAGAATCAAGCCAAGTCGTCAAATCTTAAATTTTGTCTGGCGCAAGCCTACCTCTTCTAGTGTGGACTAGTCTGGCCCCACGCGCAGGGGCATGGACAAACCCCCGTTTGGCAACGTGAACCACAAGGTTCCCTGTGATTCCAAAGGCTCACAGACAAGGGAGCACACACGTGAGAGCATGCATCAGAAAGCGCACATGAGAGAACACTCAGATCAAAGCGCATACATGAGAGCACGCGTGTGAAAGCATATTTGCGAGCGCACGCTTGCCCCACACCCCTCAGACTAGGGAGGCACTCCTCGCCTCATCTGCCCTGTACTGACCATCCTGGAGGTCCAAACTAGAAAGGGAGGCCCGAAATCTCAAAGTTCAAAGTCAATGATCGCAAGGCGACAGGATGAACATTTGCCAACCTGAGAGCGACCTAAACAACCTGGTCAGCTAGAGTCAGTGGTCACTCAACATCACAACCAGATTAAAGCGCAGGTACAAGAGTTGGCGCCTCCAACTGATTTCCGTAGCTTCGTTGGCACGGGTAGAAAATCAGATGAAATCAGGCCCTGTGACACAAGGGTTTCACACACACGCCCCCATAGAAGGGGGCGAAGATCTAGAACTAGGGCTCCGGCTGAGGTGTGGGCGCGCACGCGCAGAAGACAAAAAGATGAAGACATGAGAGGACGAGACAGACCATGTGCATGTGTGGCAACCTGCTGGGCGACCTAAAGCCACATTTGGAAGTAGTTGTGCGCGAATACGCTAAGGGTCGGATGAGTGAGTCTTTACGAATCTTAAGTTTCTAAAGCACAAAGCAGTCAGAGTCTCAATAGCTTCTACAACATGGCCATGTCAGGAATTACTATATCAGAATTACACAACAGAGGGGTGGGAGAGAGGTGTGGGAGAGTAATGTGCACGGCGGATGTACGAGGTATTGCGCAGACATGTGTGTACAGCCACAACTAGCCGAAGTAAAACCCCATCGCGCTGCCGACGTAAAACTCTATAGCCAAGCTCTTTTTCATCGCGCAGACGAAAGCAGGTCGTGTGCGTGAACCTGGGCGTCGTCATGAGTATTACATGCAAAAGACGTCATAACCGTCTGTAAAAAGTGAAGACCAAAGATTTTGTTTGTCACTGTCAGCACATCATTTGCGCCTTGGGATCTATGTCGCAGAGCTTTCCAATTGGGACGATGCCGTACCTGCATATGGTCGAACGATGTTTCCAAGAACCATGCAGCAGTCGATCGATATTTGCATAAAAGCACAACAGGACTGAACAAATAGAGACACAGCCAACTGCATAGGAAATGGTCCACGTTTCGTTTATGGTCGTTTTGACATTGAAAGCGCACCGTTTGCGCCTTGGTATTCTGCTTCGCAGCGCTTTCCAAATTGGATCGCGTCTGCAAGAAGATACTCCACCTGCACATTGTCGAAGAATGTTGCCAAAACAGCGAAAACAGGACTGAACACACAGAGGAGTGGACATAGACACAGCCAACTGTATAGGAAATGAGCCACGTTTCGTTTATGGTGGTTTTGACATTGAAAGCACACCGAAACTCCTTTGTTTCATCGCGCAGACGAAAGGGCTATTATCAACAAGATGCAGGTGCGAAGTGGCATCTGCCCGGCAGCGCTTTCCAAATGGGATCGTATCTGCAAGAAGATGCTATGCTCATCTGCGTCACAGGTGCGAAGTGGCATCTGCCCTGCAGCGCTTTCCAAATGAGATCGTATCTGCAAGAAGATGCTACGCTCATCTGTGTCACAAATCTGCAACAAGATGCAGGTGCGAAGTGGCAGGGCTATTATCCAACAAAATGCAGGTGCGAAGTGGCATCTGCCCGGCAGCGCTTTCCAAATGGGATCATATCTGCAAGAAGATGCTACGCGCATCTGCGTCACAGATCTTTTGTGCGAAGGGGCATCTGCCCTGCAGTGCTTGGCAAATGGGAGCATTTCTACAAGAAGATGCTCATCTGCGCCCAACACAAACATCCCATTGCTCACGTAGACGTAGAGCGCCATCTCGGCATCGTTCTGCTCTCTTTTGGAATTCTGCTACACGAGTGACAATGGACTCAGGAGGGCCCCGCTCCAAAATCTCGCGAGGAGGTGGGCGCAAAAGAAGTAGACCATCGAGAGATGTGACTCTCGAGAACATGTACGGCTGCCATGTCAGCAGCTGAAGCGGCTCCCCAAATGGGGTCGTCTCTTGCTTGAACCAAAAGCAAAGCTTCAAGTAAACAAATAGCACTGGCTGCAAACCCTAGCTGCAAACCCTATGCAGCGATACTGCGCAGACAATGCGTCCAAACAGCATTTAGAAAATTCACATAAACCGGCCTGGTAGATCCGACACACTTTCTGAAAACCTGCACGTCAGATATCACTAGCTGCAAACCCTATGCAGTGAGACTGCGCAGAGAATGAATCCAAACAGCGTGTATAAAAGTCACATACAGCAGCCTGGTAGATCCAGCACACTCTCTGCAGCGAAGCTTGAGCACTCCGGGCGATTCACCTCTGGTTTGAAACGTGATTCTAAACTGCAAAGCTTCTGAGACACTTCTAAAATCTAGCCATGTCACGCCGACCACGCAACAGCCCCTGCCACGAATTCTGCACATGGAGGTTCACAAAGTGCTGTGCCTGCCACGAAATCTGCACATGGAGGTTCACAAAGTGCTGCGCCTGCCACGGCATCTGCGCATGGAGCTTCACAGAGCGCTGCGCCTGCCACGAAATCTGCACGTGGAGGTTCACAAAGCACTGTGCCTGCCACGAAATCTGCACATGGAGGGTCACAAAGTGCTGTGCCTGCCACGAAATCTGCACATGGAGGATCACAAAGTGCTGCGCCTGCCACGAAATCTACGCATGGTGGTTCACAAAGCGCTGTGCCTGCCACGAAATCAGCGCATGGAGGTTCACAAAGCGCTGCGCCTGCCACGAATTCTGCACATGGAGGTTCACAAAGCGCTGCGCCTGCAACGAATTCTGCACATGGAGGTTCACAAAGTGCTGCGCCTGCCACGAATTCTGCACGTCAAGAAACAAGTGAATACTCTAATCACAATGGAGGGACGGACCGGCGACCACCGCAGACAACCGCAGACAACGCCGACAACGCAACAGCCAGAGCCTCTAACGGAGCATGGAGGTTCACAAAGTGCTGCGCCTGCCACGAATTCTGCA